TCGCGACGGAAACTCACGATCACTTTTTTTTCAAGATATATCAACGCTAATAAGAAGTCATGCGATAGAGGGTTGATAACTCGTGCTCGGTCAGATCTTTTCTGATTGAAGGCATCAATAGACACAACAGTAGTTTATTTTATTTCGTTCAAAATTGGAACGAAAATTCATCGAAGAATCGAGAAAAGCTTAAATGAATTAAACTGATTGATTTAGTTTTTTGAGTGCTCTGAAAAAAAGTGCATTAAAAATATGGTTGCATCGATACCTACCTGTAATCTCAATTCTTCCATAATCAAGGGCGAATTGGGTCGCCAGTATACGAACACTCGAAGAATGGACTGTTTTGGCGACAGATTTTCACTGATTTTCGGAGATATCGTCCGAAGCATATAATCGTAGTTCGTCGAAGTTTGAAAGACCCGTGAAACAAAAAGGGAGGAAGAAGTTAAATTTTGCCTAACAAGTTCTTGACCATTTGTAACGTGTGTGTAGACGAAAATGAACGAGGGACTTCGCATTTTCTTGGCACTGATCGTTTACAAAATCGCGTTAATCCATAGAAGGCCAATTGTACCATCTATTTATGTGAAACAGTGATCAATATTCATATTTTATATCTAGCACTTTGTATCGACCGTTCGTAGAAAGACGGAAATTTTAACAACCACTGTGGAAAAGAAGAAAACTCTTTTGATGCAACTTGATACATTCTATGAATCCTAAATATATTATCAAGTCTCTATCTCTCTCTAATGTGTTCTCTTGTATCGTTCAGATGTACTTCCTAGCGCCACGCAAAAAAAAAAAAGATGAACTCTTTGTTCCTCGTGGCGAGAGAAATCCGGGATTCCATTATAAATCACTCATAAGTTCTTTACTTCCGGGAAGAATAGAAACACGCGTAGCGACATTTTTTAACGAGATATAGTGCCAAATATTTTATAAATGGATTCATTGTCAATGCGGTGTAATCGAGACGACAGAATTCTTTTCGAAAGAATCCTATTGCATGTCGATAATAGATGCACTCAATAATTCTCCAATTTAACGACACGCATCAGTGTGGTAAAGATTTCCACATATTTTTTAATATAAAAACCAAATTTGGCCAGCCGTGATTTTCAAGCGGTATTTACAAATAAGGTACTTATTAACTGCTCTTTTTAACAGAACTTTCTACTCTGATTCGGATATTTGTTGAAAAATATTTGTCAACGTGTCCAAATGGTACTCGGCTGTATAGTTTAAACGAAAAGTAAAAGAAAAGATTGACACTTATACTAAACCATTGTTTTCTACGCTGTCGCAAGTCACAGCTTGAGAATTGCGTTCCTACATTTTTTAATCTGTCAGTGTCAAACGTTCTTACAAGAGAGACTGTCGATTTTAATAATAATGTTTATACAAGAATATTCCATCCCGAGATTGCGAAATGTTACTTCATATCGCGCATGTTGTGTCGCTTTCGTTGAGGATGTTTTTCGTCTTCTAGTTTTCGCTACATCTCGCTGATTGTTTCAATTCGCACTCGAGTATGCCCGACATTGAAGAATTGATCGCGAGAATACGCGAGATAACTTCATCTCAACGTCGGCGCATATGGAAATTTATTTCTTACGGGATCTCGTGCTAATGTGTGTGTGGAATCGAGACACGATGAAAAAAAAAAAGACATTTCTTTTGTGCGCATCCGCGGTTTACGTGTTGAAACGACTTTGAAAAGTCTTCACTTTGTCTCTTCCAATGGCTTGCCCACGTGCAATAAGAGAAGGGTCCTTGAGAAAATCATCGACGTTGATTACGCGTTATATCGTTATCCAACATAAACTTCGAGCTCGCTCATCTTCCGTTTCCGGTCTGCAAAGACGACGTTACTCGCGTGTCAACTGACTTGCTTCGATTTTTGAGCGTTCGAGATATATCGATGTCCGTATACAGAATGCCCCGTCGCTGTCGGCCGCCCTTTCAGCCGTAAGCTCTCCAATAATTCAGAAAAGGAAATAAATAAAAGCGATCTTTTTTTTTTAACGACGATTCGACGAGGGTTCTTTACTCGTAACGTTGTTCGTTTTTATCATGTCGATATCACGGCAGTCGAGTCCGGTCAACTTAAGCTCTTTTACAGAGGTAAAATCAGTACGTTGATTAATTAATTCGTCTAGACGCAAAGTTTTGTTGTACGTTCTTCGGTATTCCGGATGCGACCTTGAAACTTCGAGGAAAATCCTTCAATTATTCTAAGTGACCTCACGGACCTGTCGGAGCTTCGAGATCGTGGACGATCGACGTTCTTCCCGTTCTTTCATCTTTTGCTTCATCTGCGGTCGAAAGGGCGACCGGCTTGTCGGCGGGACACCCCATATACGCACACACGCACACACGCATATGCATGCATATACTTATATGCGTGCGCGTACATGTAGCTGCGTAAAGGAATCATTAGAAAGCTCGATTCAACAACAGTCGGAACGAATGGCGGTGGACAGGATAGTTGTTAGAGCAGGATACACCATATAGCAGTACGTCGAGTGTCCGTCGTGTCGGCGTAACGCTCCCCCGTTTGTAATTTGTGTAACACTTTTTGATCGTTTATCGATATACCGTACTTGTTAACGCTATATATATATATATATATATATAAATAAAAAAAGTATATATATATATGAAAATATATCTGTTTTTACGCGGTGATTCCCCCGTCGAGGCGCGCCGTCGTCGAGTCGCCGATGATCGATTGTGTTCGAAACGGTAATAATCGAGGCACTCTCGTAGCTCTCTCGGTCGGAAGGAGCGTGGGGGAATTACAGCGTTCGAAGGACGAGGAGAGCGGTATTCCAAGCGTAGGGAAAATCTATTGTACATTGATTATTGATACATTAATTATGATAACAATAAATTATATACAAAGTCACATCGGAACTGCGTCAAGTAATTTCGCTGTTTTGGTTTCTCTCGGGGTGGCCGAGACCACCGCTCGTTCGTTTTTCACTATTTTTCTTTTTTTTTTTACCTTCTCTTCTACCCGTTCTCTTCTCCGTTCGACTTTTTTTTTGGTTCTTTTTCGTTCCTCGTCGTCGCTTTTATTTCCCCTTCTCATCGTCCGTCCCCGCGCGCGGTTAAACTGACATTTTAATTTTCGGGACCGACACAAGCGTCGGTCCACGCTGTGTTCTCCCCCGTCGTTTCTTTTCCTGGTTTTACATCTATTGATTTCTGTCGGCATCGAACGACGACGGCATCCTCACGTTTCACACGCGCGATGTGGAAGCCATCCCTCTCTTTTTCCCCCCCCCCCCTTTTTTTTTTTNATCGCAATGCCGGATTCGTCGCTCGACCGGATGAACAATATAATGTGTGAGTAATCCCTTAAAATGCCTATCTTAACTGTGGATATCTTACGATTTTCTTTGTTTATTTTTTATGTCTTATCTCTTCGTCGTTATATCTCATCATTCGTCCGCTGAAGTAGCACAAGCTCTCCCGCTTACGGCCGGGTCCGGGCTCTCCGTCGCATTTGCATCTGGATGGAGCGAATCTGTCGCGCATCTCGTCGCTCTAATCCACGACAGGGTCTCGTGTGATCTTGAAGAGGTTGTAAGGTGAAATAAGCTTGATAAGAATTCGATGAAACTTGCATTACGGTGGCCTTCTTGATGCGTCACTGAAAATACTGAGCCTTACAACTTCCTGAAGGTGCATCGGAACTCCCGCAAAAGAAATTGCGACTGAATTTTCGCGATGAAATCAGCAAAATGCGCGAACATGCGAATGCGCCGTTCGAGCCTGCACTCGTGTCCGAGTGATTTTTATGTCGTTAGCCGATGCAGAGAACGGGCGGAATAGCTTACTTCTAGTTACCACGCTGTATGATATAACACTTATTTTTTTTTTTACATTTCTTATTACGTTGTACGTCTTCGCGGCCGAGTCCGAGGAATCGGAAACTCGCCGCTGGAAACTTGCCGCCGGCCTTTCACGAGTGTCGCCGCGACCTCGTCACGTCGTGCTGTTTACCTCCGCATGAAGCGTAGATTGTTACGTGGATTAAATCGATGTTGATTTCTCACTTGGTTCCTTATCGTCGTTGCTTCTCATCACCTTTTACCGTTTATGATTATTAAGCGCGCTCGCTCAGGCATGAATTCTCGTGGGAATGACACCGCATACGTTTGGCTGTGACCTTTGGTTTACTCATTACTTTACGACGATAAGCTTGGCCTCCGATATATTGTTTTGCAGCCTTCATTTCGCCCCTTGTTTCGTCGCGCTTTTCCGCAAGGGAGGATCAACTCCTCCCGTTCACACATTACCGGATTAGAAGCGATACTTGCACGTTAGCCCGCTCAAGATGTTTTCGAGCCGCGAAACGCGCTTGTGCGCGCCTTTATTTCAGCACAGATGCATTCTGATGTCTTTCTGATATCTACATTTCCCTCACGTTGCCGCTGAAATGCCGTTATAACGCTAATAGTTTGAGAGATTCGTCAGCGATCTGCGACAGATTATATATGTTAAGAGTTTAATATTTACATCGTTGATATATTATAGTCGTTGGCCGGAGAGCAGCGACCCGATGACGTTTGTTATGAAATTTTATGATATCTGTTACCGACATCGTGAGTAATTGTCTCTCCGTGCATGTGAACTTACCGAGTAGAACCGATTTCGTTGTCATAGACAAAACACACACTTATTATAGATACTGTCGATTCACAAGACTTTTATTCGCAAGCCTTTGTCATTTTTGAACCAGTCATCGGCATTCTTTGTTTTCCCGGGCACTGCAGAGACTCAAAGTGGAGTGGAAAGGAAAAAAAGGAGAGAAAATGCACCGTAGCATGCGTGCCTAAGTCAGATCTTACGTTTTTCCTCAGATATCTCATCGACACATACACACACACACCCACTTGTGTCTTCCAGTTTTCTTTTTCACACCTTTCTTTCACGGTATTTAGCGAGACTGCGATTCACGAGTACGGTTGCCTAATTGACATCTACTTGCAGATGTCGAAGCCGAAAAGCAGGAGATATCTAATCAACGGGAGAACAATAATTCTGTGTACGCCGCCGAGAAATCCCCGGATAAGCGAACGAACGGCGGAGTCGAGGTGAACAATGCGGCCGTCGTAAATTCGCCGGATCTCAGCCCGGTGAAGAACACGGTGCGAAACGGAGAAGCGGAGGAGACGGAAGTTAGGAAGACGAAGGTGGGTGGGTGCCCCGTTTGAGACTATTGCTGTAATGGGTTTGTTTCACAGCGATTTTCGCTCATTCTTGCGCACCTCGTCAAAATTGATTACTTTTCTGTCCAGAGATGGCCAACCGACAAGGCCTACTACATAGCCAAAGAGCTGCTCATGACAGAACGAACGTACAAAAAAGACTTGGACGTGATTAACGTGGTAAGTGTGAAAATCTTTTCAAATAAATCTTGAAACAAAAAATGTTATTCTATGATATAAGACATTTTTATTTATTTATTTATATACAGGAATGTCCATTATAAATAAGATGAATGTATATATATATATAATATATATATGTATATATACATATATATATATATATATGCATACACAAATGTACGTACGTAAAAAAAATAAGAAAAAGCTTACAAAATGTAACGACTTCTAATTTATTTTCTTTTGGTATCTGCAGAATATATTACAAAATTATATATTTTTAATACGTAATTTTTTTACTTTAATCTAGTAATATAACTATTCAACTAAAATTCAAAAAATTCAATTTGGAATTGCTGAAAATCGAGTAAAGAAAAAAATTTGGTTGTATACAGTGGTTCCGGGAAGAAGTGTCGAGGGAAGCGGAGTTAGAAGGGGACGCCGTGGTCTCTCTGATCGAGCTGCTCGCCGACGTGCACGGCCCGTGTCTCCAGGAAATGGAAGCGAGACTGGCACGTTGGGAGGGCAATGCCCGTCACAACATCGGCGACTTTTTGTACAATACGCTGCTGAACGTCTTGCCTCTCTACGACCAATACCTGGAGAATCTAATACCGGTACTAGAGAAGATGGAATACTCCACGCGGATGTCGCGACGCTTCGACCAGCTCTGCCGAGACTTCGAGTCGCAGAAGCACTGTTACCTGCCATTAACTTCATTCCTATTGAAACCCCTGCAACGATTATTGCATTACAACAGTATTATCGACAGTGAGTGGGCCGAGTGTTATTGAATATTGGCAGTCGGTTATTGAATATGCAGCGACCACTGGTCAAGTCCTTAACTTTTCCAATCGTTCCTTTTCCAGGATTATTGGATCATTATCCGAAAGATCACACCGACTTCGAGGATTGTCTGGCAGCGAGAGACAGACTCGGCGAGACGTTGCTCGAGGGGTTGACGGTTATCAATCAAGCGGTGAGAGAATTATTGCAATGTTCGCTGTGAAAATTTAACAAATAAATTAAAGAATTGTGTGAGAATAATCGTTGTTAGAATAATTGTTGTTGAAAGAGTACTGGAAAAAAATAGTAGAAATACAAAGATGTATATGTTTCAAATTTAATTCTCTTCTAATTTTTGCTTGCAATCGTTAACAGCAAAATCTGGTACAATTGTGTGAGATGCAAAGAGACATTACTGGTTTCGACAATCTGGTGCAAGAGGGCCGAAGATTTATCAGACAGGGATGCCTGCAGAAGTACAGCCGTAAAGGCTTCCAACAACGTATGTTCTTCTTGGTGAGTTTCCTGAATATTTTCCACCGGTTAACGCGCAGAACAGCAAACTGGATCAATACTGTGCTTTGCTTTCACAGTTCTCAGACGTGTTACTGTATACATTCCGTACTCAACAACCAACGCAATGCTTCCGTGTGCATGGCCAACTTCCATTGAAAGGGATGAAAATTCAGGACGCGGATAACAAGACTGGAACGGATTTTGCATTCATCATCGACGGACAAGGAAATCAGTGAGTGTCGAATTCGATGACTTGTACGGGATGGTTAAACAGAGAATAATGATAGACAGAAGATATGCTGAACGCTCGTTGAAAGGCCATAGCGTTATTAAAGAAGTCAACTCGCTAAACTGATTTTATTGAAGCATGTGCTGATGAAAGTTTTCTCGTCAGTATGTAGCTTTGTCTCGATACGAACACGAACCGATCATTTATATATCTCTTAACGTATCGTGTGAACGTCAACTTTTCAAATACTTATCTGGAAATCAGTGTTAAAATAAATCAATAAGGTTTTTATGAATAACAGTTTACGAAATTCTTGGAATATGTCAAAATTTGTGTTATTGATTCAACGCATTTGTAAAATATTCCAGATATTTTTCTTTTGCTCGAACAATCAATAAATAGCCGTAAAACAAATGTGACCAAATTATGAGAAAAAATAGATTTAAAAGGAAGATTGTATATCATGTTAAATTTACGGTTATTTATTGATTGTTGACATAAAAGGGAAATGTTCGGAATATTTTACAAGTGTGCTGAATCGATCACACAAATGTCATTTTGTAAATATATCTTTTTATTTGAACGTGTAAGAATTCTGCGTTTTCTCGCTTTTGACGTCATAAAATAAAACGACTGCAGTAAGAGTTCAAGAGCCTTAATATCTTAATAAAATAATGTGTTATATTTTTAATGATTAAATTTTGCGCTCTTCCAGATCTCTAACGGTTGCAGCGAGCAACGAAGAAGAGAAAGAGAGGTGGATAGAAGACTTGAACATGGCTATAGCGCAAATTGACGCATCGGACGCGAAGATGCCGTATTTAAGTTTAAAGTCTTGCAGTAAGTGGCTACTGAAAGTGAGAAAATTCGTATCGAGCGAAGATAAGAAATCCAATTAAACGTTTGCCTCTCCTAAAAGTTCTAGGCTCGGCTGACGAGGTGGGAGATGGTGTAGGGCTCGAGGTGGATCGGACTAGTTGCGGAGGTGCGAAGGCCTCGCAACGTAGCAACACCACGGTTCATGTTTGTTGGCATCGTAATACAAGCATTAGTTACAGTGATCAACTGCGTGCGTTTCAAGTATGTCAAACTTAATGATATACTTTCGTCACATAGCGCGAACTATTAGAATAAGGCATACTACAAAATTAAGTCACTTAGTATCTGTTGTCAGAAGAATGACCGGTGGAGATTTTTCGGATATTCGAAAAATTAACTAGCGACATAACATAAACTGTGTTTTAGAACCAGCTTAGTGGATTTCTTTTGCGGAAATTCAAGAACAGCAACGGTTGGCAAAAGCTTTGGGTGGTATTCACCAACTTCTGCCTGTTTTTCTACAAGTCCCATCAAGATGACTTCCCATTGGCTAGTTTGCCATTATTAGGATACACTGTGTCCACCCCGTCAGAAAAAGACGGTATTAATAAGGACTTCGTCTTCAAGCTGCAATTCAAAAGTCATGTGTATTTCTTCCGAGCAGAAAGCGACTACACTTTTGGAAGGTAAGAAACATCATTTGCTTTCAAATTATTTATCTATTAAAAACGATTACTGGTATTGTTGTGTGTATATTTGGTGCGTATAATTAAATAAATATAATAATAAATTACATTTTCAGGTGGATTGAAGTCATCCGAAGTGCAACTCAGCAGAATCATATGCCCGTTAGCATGAATGGAAAAGAAGAATATTAGAATTCGATCTTTTCTTTTTTTTTTGCATACATAATCGTTAAGAATCAAACAATTTATTAGGGTATCATTCTACAAGGAATGACCTTGAGATTATATGTAACGTGAAAGTCTAAATATATTTGGCCTTATACAATTATTAAAATCAAAAATCATAATTGACTTTTTGGCTCTGCCAGAGAATTTCTCAACTTTGCAAGCAGTTAATTCTAGAGCCAACAAAGAGTTATAACAAAGAGAGTAGTATAGGAAATTATTAGAAACAGAAATATGAAACAAAAAATGATATGTACAGATCGTAGGATTTTTGATATGTGATTTTAATGCTTTGATATAAATTTAATAAATGATGTTCAAAACTTTCAAACGAGTAATTAGAATCTCGATATTATGTCACAAATTTATGGAAATATATATATATATATATATATTGAAAAAATTATATATATATAAATATAAAAATATGTACATATATAATATTTACACATATACTTATCGTATTTGTTTAAAGAAGTTTTGTAACGTAGTTTTTTTTTATGTCTACTTTACATTGAGCGATAATTGTGCAAGCAAATCAATTGTGGTTATACAATATTATGCAATATATTTTTGCTCAATATTTCTTTTTGACAGACATTTCTTTTTGCACGACTCACGTACTGTACACGATTGATATATCCTTGTTGTATTATATACAAAAGAGTTATTATTAAATGCGCGATTATTACTCAGCGTAAAACAGATATAACGTAACGTTATAATTGCATTTAATTGCATATATTCACATTAGTAATATATTTTTAAAACACATTCTGTAAACAAAGACACAGTCACAAGAAATTATACAATTAGTATTAATATTGGACCAATTTTTTAACGAAATTTGCTTAACGATTGATACTTTTAATAAGACAATAATTTTAACATTTTCTCTTTTGTACGATTTAATTTGTATTGGTGAAACGCATAACGTGAGAGAGTGATTGTATCGTAAGCTGTAGTCATAAGAGAATGCTTATAACTTTGCCACTTTTAAGTAAATGGTGCCATTACATGACGCAGTGTTCGCTAAGACTTGAAGAAATTCTTTAACAATAAATGGCACAATATACGCTATATCATAGTATGTTATTACTGTCTCCATCGCGCGTTTGTTTAAATAACGAAATTTGTAATCCTATTCATAAACCCGCCTAAGGAGTGAATCAAAGAGATAAATAATTATTAAATTATTAAGTCTGTTTAATTATCAACTCAGACAATGCAAACGTCCGGAGAACGTCGTGATAATGTATCGGTTTACTTGAACGATTTTTTAAAAATGTTAACAAGCACTTAATATAAAAAGAGACGTTTTTTGGACCTCTGTGTTGTTTGGAGAAATTGTTTGCGTAACTTAGATTATACAATTAATATATAACGTCAAAGAGAAAAACTAGTTGTATACATTTTTTCGGTTGCGAATCGGTGCGTACGTAGAGACGGAAAATTGCACGGACACATAGTGGTATAAAGGCGTATCTATATAGAGATTCGTCTAGATTATCGATTGGTCCTCAGAGTGACTTCGGCTTTGGCTCATGAGAGCCTATTAGTGTGACGTACGATGCTTTCTGAACGTTTGAGAAGGCTTGACAGATAGTAACATTGTTATAATATTATGAGAAGCCCGGCGATATAACAACTGGTGACATCGTAAATATGATACACAGTCACACTTCATATTATTTAAATAAAAATTAGACAAACGTAAGTTAAAACATATCTGTTAAAACATATCTCTGCCATATTTTATAATATCTACTATCTCATGGAGTCTTTACGCAACATTGATTTTTTCCTTGTAGGAAATTTTCAATATCGACAAACGACTTCTCAAGTCTCCATCAATTCCAATGTCGAAATAGCCTATCTATTCCAAGTATAGATCTTCTAGCGGTGAACTGACACTGTATATGTTTCCAATATATTCTTCCTAAGTTGTATCCTACGACTAAGATAACGAAATGAATGTAACGTCATTTTATTAATTATGTACTATCGTCACCATATTTTGCCGCAATAAACATCTATGGATATGATTAACAATCTTTTCCTCAATAGTGAATAAAGTAATAATCGAGTAGTTTTTAAAAAATATATCAAAGCGGAAATTATGCTGCTGCTAGCGTGTACTAGTTGTGCACGTAAGCTTTCATGAGAAACCGTAGATTATATTAAAATTTCTTCTCTTTAGAAAAGAGATTACAGGATTGCGTTTTTTAAATTAATTTCGCAGTAATGAGCTTTCATCGCTTAAAGTTACAAAGATATAAAGAGAGATCCAATCGTAGATCGAAAAGATGCGATAAAAAAAATGCCGAGTCTTCATCGAAGAGAGGTTGATCAAAAGCGGCACGTTCATTCGGTATGTTTCTCAGAGAGACGCCCTGTATATTAAAATTTAAGGTTGATCTCGTGAAAGGAAACGTTAGATTTCCGCGTTGATTTGTAACAGGTAGCCTCAGTGGATGATACATCAATGTCAGAAAAAAATCGTAATAACCCACTGCTGTAACCATGTTTATCCATACAGTTTATCCAATCTTATGATCACGGAATATACTATGGGTCGCGTCGTGGTCGCTCGTAAATTGTACGTATGCGTCAAGCGTGAGAAAAAAGCCACCCGTAATGTATGCTAAAACGTTTCTAGTTCGCTTTATGTGCTGGTAATGAACTTAATGAGTTTCGGAATCGTATATTTTTTCGCGATTATCTCATGGTGAATGCAGAAGATTGTTGAGCGCCTTAATAAGCCGTTCACGTGCTCGTGAATAATCGTTGGAACGTGACATACAAGGTGGGCTGAAACAACTCCGATAAAGTGCGTTTTGTTCTTTAGGCGTATTTTGTAAAGAGTACACGACGCACTGTTCTCGAATTAATGAAGGAAACGCCTCTTTCGCACGGCATAAAAACAAGCTTAGATGACTAATTTAGTCCTTATTTCCATATAATAGCTAGTTTTATTTGCACAATCTCTCTCTCTTTTTCTCTCTCTATTGGAATTGTTAAAAAGACATATATCATATACTTTATCGCTCCTAATGTTTCCTGCAGATTGTATGATATGGAGAAACTGAGATTTACGCATGATTATTTATAGTAATAATACAAAAAATAGTGGTAGGAGCAGGTAGGCCAGGCTACTTTTGTAATCTGCATAATTATCATTTATAATAATCAATTTACTCATTGCCATTCATTTTCCACATGAGTATGTACAGTCATTAGAATTAATTTTCTTGCCGGAAGTCGAAGAAACGGCCAGCTAAAGCCTAGATCTCTCTTTGAGATCTTAAGGAAAAAAAAATTGCGTGGAATTCCCGCGGCTATATTCCAGGATGTCAAAGATGGTGAACAATATCCTATAATTATTTCTCCGATATCAGAGAAGACGATCGCATATGATCGACTCGTTCATGAGTAATCGATACCCAATACATTTTGCACTGTCAATGTATGGAATGGTGTAATAGTGCAAATTCATGTTCGCCGAATGTGTGTTTCGTCAATCGCCAGTCACATATTACGTCCTGTGTACAGCGCAGATCCAATCTTTCGGACATTTTTTTTTCTTACAATTTAAGTTCTGAAATTTTTTCTCGCAAGTATACGAATATATTTTTACGCGAGGAAAGATTATCGTTTCTTCATTTTCATTTGATTGATTTTCCACTGATCTTCATTCAGATAAAACAAGAAGATAGACAAGACTTACGGCTGCGCATCTTAAAAATCGTCTTTCGTAGGACGATTATTTATCGTGTCACGATTTCCTTAATCGCGGAAAGAGAGAGAAAGGTCTAAACGCATATAATAATCCAGAGGTTATCGCATATTTTCTTGGCTGATAATTTCCTGAATCAGAAAGAAGAGTACTCGCAAGATATTAATTCGCTTTAAATAAATATTTGTATTCGCATGTCATTCACTCTGAATGCTGAGTGCGCGATTCATAAATCATCGCGGGCAAAGTAAAAAAAAATCGCTGATGACGGAAGTCACGAGCTATCTCGTTTGTTTCTTTTTTTACTATACACGTGTCGTCGCGCTCTTTTAAATCAATTAAAGGAACCGTACTTCCCCGCTCGGCCGCAATAACATATCGAAACATAGAAGCATGTATCGCGCGTTAAATTCCGAGAAAATAATAGCAATTCTGAATTCTCGGAAAATAGCAATACAAAAATGTTGCTTCCCCAAGTCGATACTTTTCTCTTGCGCTTATTTACAAGTTAAGATTTAATTTCTTTTAATTTATAGTCCCGAGAGACGTGAGATATCTCACGTCCGTCCTAATGCGAAACTTTTTTTCGTACACCGCTCATATGTTTTCTATATCATTACATGGTATTTTAAGAAAATGCTGGAGTTACGCACCGCCGCTGACAAAGTGGATACCGCCTATTATGTATGATTAGCGAGAGTGTGACATGGGTGATAAATGCACAAAATGGCATTGAGGTGCACCGAGATATAAGACCGTTGGAGGCTGCGAACAACCTTCGCATGGGGCTTTGTATCATTGGTTTAAACGTGTCGTCTGCAACAATTCGTTGGGCCCCATGATCATTATCGGCAATGTCAATGAACAAATGAACGATACATCGTTCGTCTCAAGTGAGCAATTGTTCTATGTTATGCTCCTTTTCTTTCTTACGTGTCGTTCCTCTCTCTCTCCATTTGCGTTATACATATTAATGACGTGAAACGCCGATTCATCGAGGCCGAATCGAATAATAGACAAAAGTAAAAAGATGCGATCCTGACAGCTTCCTATGGACGGAATCCCGATCAGGATTAAGGCCTATCGCCGATCATCTTAGCCTTGGCGTTTGTCGCATTTTTTGCTCCCGTTGCTTCTCAATTCCGATTTGCCTGCAGCGACCGATGTTTTAGGAAGGAACGAGCGCCGAAGTGGGGGGCAAGATATAAAGTCTTGGTGGCTGCGGACGATCAGGATAGAAGCGAATATCGTCATGTGGCAGTATCGGACGATCGGCCTTTTGGCCTTACTGCTTGCAGCATGCGTCCAAGCGCGAGGTATATAAATTTATTCTTTTGTTTCGTACATCACGTTCTATCATTATCATTTTCATTATCGTCATTATTGTTATCGCCATCTTAATGGTTTCATATCTGACAATAATATGTCACTTTTTTGTAATCTCATTATTGCCACCTAATTGAATAATTGAGTATAATATATATTTTAACACATTAAGGGCGGGAGTCGTAGTACTACGATTTAGCTCGACTGCGGCTTAAAGGCGGGAGTCGTGGTAAAACAATTTAGCTCGACTGTACCTTAAAGTTTTTATGATCACACAAAATATCGCCCGCCGTTAATGTGTTAATAACACATGCGTGTCATTAAGAAAGGAGAAAACTTATCGAAATTGAAAGAAAATTTCCTAGTAATTGTTTGTTGCTAAATTCTCTTTGTTAGGAAGTTAATATGTATATCGGGTGATTTTGACCATTGGCTACTTTCGAATTCAGCTTTCCCAAGCGGAGGATAATTATTTTCTGCGACTCGTCTGTAAAAAGTTGAGTCATGTCGTTTCTTCAATTATTGATTTATCTGTTTCTTTAGCTACTTCAGTATATTATTATCTTTACCTATCAAGTAAACATCAATTAACAGTAAAATTATTTTAATATTATCATTTCACACTTAGCAATATAAGTACAATATAATATATATAACAGTTGCATTGTCGAGTGGGAAATTATAATTTCTTATAATATTGTTTAATGTTACTATTAGTGGGCGTTTACTGAATATTACGCATAATTTTGACACTGTATAATTAAATATTTCAAGCAGCAGAAAAATTCCGTCACAAAGTTGTGAAGTAACTTATAACACATAATTTTCTATTAAAAGTGATATTTTCGTGACATATAATGTGCAAAATTGTAATTTACGTTTCTAAGATTCAGCTATTAGTAAGATGGTGATAATCTTTTTGTTATACAACACTAATATACGTCAATTGCACGCTTTTCTTTTTGTTACGACAGCCTTGCTCTTTACTCTTGTCGAAGATGTACCATAAAAATCCAAAGCAATTGCGCAAAATAGCAGATTCTTGACTCTTTTCCTTACCGGGAAAAGAAATATAATCGATAAGAAATTTCTGCTAAGAATATTAAAAAATTCGTCCAAGCTACATGTTAATTATAAACTTGAACTTTAATGCAAGATAATCGAGCTTTTTGCTTAAGTATATTTTAATTTTCCGTAAACATTGTGCAATTATGCACTTTCTGTTTAATAAGAGAAGAATCAAAGAAGAAGATTCATGCAAAACAAACATGAATGTATACATGGTTGTGGTTTCAGCTTTCTTTTTCAAATTCGACCAACATTATAATAATTTGCGATATGCAGTGATTTCATTACTACTTTCATTGTAAGTTTGAATGTTGAAAATATAAACCCAATACTCTCGACTTGTCGCAGAAATCGAATTATTGCGATCGAAGCGTGGCGGCGAAGGAGCCTCCGCTTTCAGCAGCGCCAGCAGTTCGGCAAGCGCCAGTTCGTACGGCGGTGGTAGCAGCTTCTCCAAATCCGATTCTAAGGCTACCGGCAGTGCCTCGGCAGGTGCTCAATCTTCGGCATTGGCGAATGCCGGTGCATATGGTGGCGGTTTAGGAGGCGGTGGCGGCGGAGGAGGAGGTGGTGCCGGAGGTGGCGGTCACGGTGGATTTGGCGGCGGTCATGGAAGTAGCGGTAGCGGTGGATTTGGCGGTGGTCACGGAGGTGCCGGTGGATTCGGCGGTGGTCAAGGAGCCGGTGGCGGACACGGTGGTGGTGGAGGTGGCGGTGCCGGTAGCGGTGGATTCGGCGGTGGTCCCGGAGGTAGCGGTGGACACGGTGGATTCGGCGGTGGTCCCGGGGGTGGACACGGTGGTGGCGGAGGTGGCGGTGCCGGTAGCGGTGGATTCGGTGGCGGTCCTGGGGGTGGACACGGTAGCGGAGGCGGATACGGAGGCGCTGGTGCTGGTAGCGGCGGATACGGAGGTGCAGGTGGACACGGAGGTGGCCTAGGTGGTGGCGCTGGACAGGGAGGTGGATACGGAGGTGCTGGTAGCGGTGCTGGTAGCGGTGGATACGGAGGTGGCGGTGCTGGTAGCGGCGGGTACGGAGGTGCAGGTGGACACGGAGGTGGCTCAGGTGGTGGTGCTGGACACGGAAGTGCTGGTAGCGGTGCTGGTAGCGGTGGATACGGAGGTGGCGGTGCTGGTAACGGCGGGTACGGAGGTGCAGATGGACACGGAGGTGGCTCAGGTGGTGGCGCTGGACACGGAGGTGGCTCAGGTGGTGGCGCTGGACACGGAGGTGGCTCAAGTGGTGGCGCTGGACACGGAGGTGGATACGGAGGTGCGGGTAGCGGTACTGGTAGCGGTGGATACGGAGGTTCCGGTGGACATGGAGGTGGCGGTGGTAGCGGTGGTTACGGTAATTTTCTCTCTCATTGATTTTGACCTGTTGCTCCTGGAAAGCTTGTTCGATCGGTTCTACCGTTATAAATGATTATTGATCATTTGCGGCACTTCATGGTATTTTCCAGTGTTCCGTTCACGAAAAATTGCAGCGATATGTGTATTCATTTCATCATCAAGTTTGAATAATTGAATCAAACACGAGATATCTCCTGCTCATGTTTCTCTCGATATTTAATTACACGGCACCTGTACTTTGTTCATTCAATACAAATTCTTCATTAAGCAATTCAAAGTTTAACATATTATACGATATCGAGAAAATCTATTTTAAGACATGAAGGTAGTGGGGATTACGGAGGTGGTGGCAAGTTCAAGATGAGGACGTTTGCATACGTAGAATCTCAAGTGTGTGTGTTCTTGTGTAGAAAGAGAATGATCTAGGTATAAGTTAAATATTAACATTAATTATTGGAAATTAGCGCTCTCAATAGTAATTTGATTTTATATAACATCTAGACTAATATGCTTTGCGTTCTTACAACATTCACATTTCCACTTGATAACAAGACTCAGCAATTCAGCTGATCGCGCTACATGCGATTTTGTACCTCTGGGCGAGAACTTTTTATCCACCTCAAAACAAGTGCTCTTCCCTATAAGGCTTTTGTAACAATAACTTTTTATAATCATTCCCTCTCTCTCATCTTCATCATGTTCTAACACTTACATCCTTAACAATCCATACAATTTTATGTATAGGCAGTGGCGGCGCAGACGGTGTTAGTAAAATAAGTGGTGGAGGTGGAGGTTACGGCGGGTCGGGCGCCGGAGGATACGGAGGGGCCGGTGCTGGCGCCGGAGGATACGGAGGAGCTGGTTCCGGGGCCGGAGGTCACGGTGGCGGCGGCCCCGGAGGATACGGTAGTGCCGGAGGTAGTGGTGGTGGTGGTGGGGGTTATGGCGGGGCTGGCTCCGGTGCGGGTGGTTACGGAGGTGGCCATGGTGCGGGAGGTGGATGTAAGTGAAAAAAGTCCCCCAAAAAATGTATATATATACGGCTAATATAAATATATAAATACTATGTTGACGACGCAGCTGGCGGAGGTGATGGCCACGGAGGCGGTTTGGGTGGAGGCTTAGGCGGTGGCCATGGCGGAGCAGGCGGAGGTGGTCACGGAGGAGGAGGTTTTGGTGGTGGTAAGCGTGATTATTGATTTGGAAAAATTCGGGCAACGATAGTCGTGAGGGTGAGTCTGGTTACTTTGTAACGGGAATTCCAGGCGGATGTGATACCGGAAGATGCGGAGGAGGCGGTGGCAGCGGAGCCAACGCTAATGCTCATGCTAGCGCCAGCGCGAATGCGAACGCCGGCGCCGGCGGTGGTTACGGAGGTCACGGAGGTCACGGAGGTCACGGACCAGAGTACGTATTAATGAATATAAGTAGATATCGAAGATAAAATAACTCGAATCGCATGTTCGATTTCTTATTCGTGCCGAGAACGCACCTTTGTAAAAAGAAACATAAAAATTACTTAATATCTCAATTTGTCAGGAAACTCGTCGTGAAGATTGATGAAACGAGCGAACGGGATAGGCAATGTTCTGCGAAAGCTATTTATGATGTTTCGCTATTATGTATAAATGACATCAGAATTAATTTCGTCCGATCAATCCGCGCTGAGTTTTCTCGACAGTGAATGAGATAGTCAAGGTGAACGGGTTTCTCGATTATGCGAGACAGACGTTGCTGTATTTTATCATACAATCGATGACATTGTGAGGAGACTGCTTGACTATGCAGATCGACAAAAACTGATAATTTACTGAATAAATATTTCGAGGAAACGTAAGACGGCGAAAAAGATTCGAACAAACAGTCGCTGAGTGCAGTTTTCTGAGCGTTTAAAATGTAAACTCTTTCTTTCATCTTTCGCGTTATCCGCGAGTTTAGAATCATTCTCCTCTTTCTACTCTCGTTCTTTTATTTTATTCGCAGTTTATTCTCTCGTATCGCTGAGGACGACGTGAGCCAGAGCGGTACCGTCGACAATGCCAAAGGTGTTTACAGCAGCAGCGCGGCGAACATAGACAGCAGCGGCAAAGGCACCTACGCCGTCAAAGCCGGAAAAATCACGTAAAGTCGCGCTTACGCGAGTATGAAGACGCGCGGGGTCGACGAATATTCGAATTTTCCAGATTGGATGTCGCTCAAAGATACCTCTCGGACGATTGGAGAACACAGATGTGATTGATTACAATCGTACATCTTAATGCACAAAATGCAGCAATAAGGTCTACGCTTTATTTATTTCGTAATCACCGGAAATGAGATGTGACGTCTGAAAATAAAATTATGGAATTGTATATAATAATAATTCCTGGCGTTTATCATTTATATTTTTTTTCCGACCTCCTCTGAAAAAGCCAAACGGCCACGCTGTTGCGTCGACAGTCATTGTTGCACATCAGCGAACGAACGATTGTGAGTAATCTCTTAGCACAGACGTTCCTAACATTTATTTTCCAAGGACTCGTTCAACTGTCTTTTGTGAAACACAAAACGCGATTATCATGCTAATGATCGGTAAACAGAAGGCAGAAAAATCAGAAAAATACATAATGATATTCTCGTTATCCAACAACGTCTGTAGCGATCTTTCGCATCTCGCTTTGAAAGGTACATGTAATATGCATTGAATATTTTACTGTACGTTCCAACAACCAACAATTACGATTTTTAATCGCGAAATTTGCATTAATAGCACCTCCTCTCAGTAAAATCAAGCGGATATCTATTAAATCTTGATCTGTTCTTATCATATAATGATTTAAATATTTGTCAATGTTTTTTACTGAGAAAAATTATATATATATATATTATATAAATCTACATCTCTCCCTTTCTCTCTGATATAAATAAATATATTGATATAAACGAATACATGAATAATTATCATACGCTAAAGCTATATAAAAAAAATAGTAATACTTGTTTAATCGGTAAATTTAATCGGAAATAGACATTGTGTTGCGTCATTTAATAAAATTATTTATCAATTGATGCATGTCGCTTTGGTCACACATTAACTGGGAAAACTGGTTTCTGATTTTCATCACTGATGAATGCTCACCGGTTTGACAGTAATTTAACGTTATTAATCGTTGCGCAACAAATAATTATAGAAATTTGAATCTTCAATTGAAACGTGTTTATAACACTTGTCGAGACTATAAATCCGATTATGTATCTGCTATTTTGTCACTATATATTGGCAATTACCTATTCTATAAGATGTACCTTCGTAAGAAGCAACTCAAGAAGAATCAACGGGTACATTTTTTTATAAAAGTACCAAATTACGAAGTTGCAAAAAAAGACTTTAAAGCTCCTGGCTATTCTTTATGGCTTGAAATTAACGATTAACTCTTTACATATACAACGTATTCTTTTCAATTTGTTCACTTTTTTGTGAAAGAAATACATTAAAAACTTTTGCGACCTACAGTCGTGTAAGCAAAACAGATCGTGAAAGGAATTGGAATGTTCGACGGAGTTAGAAATGACGGTATAATTAACATCGGAGGCTCAAACGTATCCTGTCATACTCATCCATCATGAATAATTCATAGCGGCCGTTCATGTATAGATGGTGGATTTGTTCGTATACTGATGACATAAACGGTATTCCCGGAGGGAATTTTATTTACATTACGCGTGCATCATAATGCATTATGAGTGGGGATGATTTGAGTAGGTTCCAGGTAGAAAGCATCAACTGATTGGGGCAATCGGACCTGCCTGTTTATTACTTCAATTGGAAATGCTTGAAAATCTGTCATTTTCTTCGTTGGCTGTGTGTGGACTGGCTGAGTCTTCTTCGCTAGTTAAAGTTCTTTTCTTTTGCTAAGCAATTTGAATCTTGATTGGAATGATGTTTCTTGTCTAATGATTTGTCTAGCTCTTTTTCAATTTGCTACTCGCTCAGTAAGTAAAACATGATCTCCAATATGTCGCCAAAAAATTTTCTACCAGATGGCGTTAATCTCATGTCACACTAACGATTATCGATTGCGTTCGCACCTGCGCTTTCATTTACGATTGTCTCTTGACCAATCAGAAAAGAGCTGCTGGCGATTTGATTGGTCTGGTGATTCAAACGCAGTGCAATCGACAATAGCTAGTGTAATACGGGCATTAGTAATCTTTTGTTGCTTTTGTAAATTAATCTTCACGTCATTGACAGTCTGTATTATAAATGTCGTCAGCATCTGAGGACATATCCACCAAAGTCAAAGCAAGTCAGCATATCGATCACGTAACTTTTCCTCTAGGACGGAAATACGAAAATTGAAATGTTTTCAAATTAGAAAATTTACACTTTTCACTAATTCACGTTAGAAGAAAAGAGCGTTATCAACATCCAAGAGGTTTTTTGCTTCTTTTTTTCTTTTTATACTTATGTGTATTATCTTTACCCAGGAGTAGCTAAAAAGAACAAGCCCATTGACTCATCGGTCGAACATCACCCACTCCTATTCACAGCTGACGCGGTGTTATCAACTAGGAAGTGTTCGTAGTTATGGTCACGTGACGCGGGAATCGTAGTATTTATAGATGCAAATCGAGAGAGCTTGGCAGATGCGTAACCTATATAACTATGCCCATACAGTCGTGCGTAAGGCGTGTGACAAGCCTTCGTGTGACAGGAGTGATAACTGTCGAAATATATTGTAAAATTTTTCGCATAACAATGTCCTAGTGCAATAAATTTCCTAAGAACACGACCTACACTGTATTTTAAGACGAGCCTTTCACTGTGTTCCAAAAAACTGTCACGAGTTGGTGAAACGTTTGAAGGCTGAATGTTGATCTCGCGCGTACGATGTACGAAACTGCCACTTCGAAATTAGTTTCTCGATATTTTACTACGACCTGTAATTAACTAACGGAAACTATGTCGAAGTCTGATGGGCCGAAACTCGTGATTGCGCTTTTCTCCTTCAAGGGGAAGAACAACGACGAAGTATGTAAAGTGAAATATTTCACATAATAAACTTCACTTAATGATACCTAAATATTACACTGTCAGAATAATATTGTCATAACTTCAAAGAAATGACAGTGTTTTTCAATTACTCGAGTACTCATTCTATTAACTATATAAAAGCTTTCATAACTTGAAGATACGTAAAACAGAATAGGAACATAATAAATATCAAAAATATTTTGTACATGAATATTGGAATTTGATCATTTAAGACAGGATTATTCTGAAGATATAATTGTAAGGTAGATGTATATAACTATATTTTTTTTCTTTTAGTTATGCTTTAAGAAGGGAGACATAATAACGATAACTCAAATAGACGATGAAGGTTGGTGGGAAGGTACACTAAATGATAAGACTGGTTGGTTTCCCTCTAATTACGTCAAGGAATATAGAATTCCAGGTATGACAATCGTTAAACATGCTTATGTTTGTAGAATTTAGGTAATAGTTATATATGTAATTAGCTACTTAGGTAATAGTTATATATGTAATTAGCTATGTACTCTTATAAATTAATCTATATAGATGATGGTCATACATCAATTAAAACATCTCCAGAAAGGAGCCCACAAGAGTCACCTATACATCAAAAACTCAATCGTGATATAGTATTAAAAGATATTGTCAATTCTGAAAGAGTAAATGTGGCAGAACTACAGGGTTTAATGAACAAATTTTTACAACCTCTTGAAACATCAAATATGTAAGTTATAGCATCATATCAAGGCATATAAAGAAAAGTAAATTGTACATTATATCATGTTATAAATCACTAAAAATTTACAATTACATGTAGACTGAAAAAAGATGAATATAAGCAGTTACTTGGTAATATACACGAAGTCTTGGAAACTCATCAATATTTATTGGCAAACTTGGAAACATCCATTTTACAAGGACTCTCTGCAAGGATGGGAAATCTTTTCATAACCATCGCACCGAGACTGAAATCTATTCACACGACATACTGTAATAATCATCCACAAGCTGTTTGTATATTGGACAGATACAGGTAGATATATAACTATTGAAAAATATGAAACGTCATTTATTAAAATGATATTATCGTTATATATAATGAGTGTATTTGCAAATAAATTATACATGCTATTATTTTAGAGACGAATTGAATGAATTTATGGAACGTACTGGAGCAGTATCGCCTGGTATATTAGTATTAACCACTGGTCTTAGTAAGCCGTTCCGACGATTGGATAAGTATTCTGCTATGCTTCAAGAATTAGAAAGGTACACTGAAAAGAATCACCCTGACAGAGGAGATACTCAACGTAGTATAGCAGTATATAGAGAAATTGCGGTATGATAATCGACACATATGTCGTACACACACGATTGTTTAACTCTATACGTGCTTATCGTTAGCGATTCGCTTCACTTGTAGGATCATTGCGCTTCCATACGTAAGCAACGCGAGTTAGCACTTCAAATATTAACCAGCGGGATTAAGGGGTGGGAAGGCGAAGAGTTGAACTCGTTAGGCGAGGTTCTTCACGTTGGATCTGTAACTCTGGCAACCGGCGTAGATCGCAGAGACAGATGCTTCGTTCTATTTCCCACCACTTTGCTGGTGCTTAGTACCAGTCCAAGGATGAGTTCCTATATTTACGAGGTATATTTAGAAATAATCGGTCGCGTTGCTTTCAAAATGCTATTTTGTTACGTGAAGATTTGATATTATGATTGTTTGCACAGGGAAAGCTCCCATTGACAGGTATTAATGTAACTGGAATTGAAGATACCGATGAAATAAGAAATGCCTTGGAAATCACCGGTAAGGCTGTTAATTATTTCATATATATATATATTTACTAAGGGAATGGAAAATGCCTCACTCAGAAAGATGAATTGGAAGCAGACAAGATAAACAGAGAAACGGAAGATTCGAGGCCAAGTGATTCCATTTCATTGGTCAAAACAACCTCTGGGTTCATACAGGATATCCCAAAAGGGAGCATAGGAGGAATGTGTAACTTTGGGTCTAATCGAATAGATCCTTCTGAGTGGGAATTTCCAGTGCTTCTTAGTGTAATTTTATCTTACAGCACAAACAAAAAAAACAAATGTCATTTTGCGATTTAAAAACAGTTTTTACTTTCAAGTCGTAAAATGACAATGATCAGTAATGCGCATTAGATAATGAAACGTGATATGTGTATTTTAAGGACCAATGATCGAAAGTATCGTTGTGCTGTGTCCCACGAGAGAAGAGAGGCAACGTTGGATCGAGCTTTTAATTCAGGAACAAGGCACTAGCCTCCTGAAATCACCGACTATGCCCCGCGTGAGTTGCCATCATCCTCCGTATGCGCGACTCTCCAGATATTTCGCGAAGCTCGTGAGGAGGAAAGTAATATATCCCGAATTAATGAAGAAGTTACTGTACATTCAGTACGTTTTGAAGCCAGATTTGAGTAGTGTCAAAATGAGAAAATGCAATGTGACCTATACTATCCTCCCAGCTAATAGTAGCGGGGAATCAGACTCGGACGTAACCACTGAGAGCCGCAACACGCAGGAGGAGTCGCGAACATTGTGTAAATCCACGTTAATAATGGATGTTAGATACGTAGTAGATAATACCGATCTTAGTAACGTAGGAATAGCGAGCGATTCCTCACTCACGAATTTCGCATCGAGAGTCGATCAGGGCGACCGTTGTACCTTCGAGACCAGTAAAAGTTTGCCCGTCGGTACCACAATGAGCCACGTCCTGCCGAACGTTCCATTCGCGTCAAGCCAATCATACACGTCGAATCTTCAAGCACGTTCCAATGAATTTTGCCGGGAGCACTCGAAGGTCGCGAGACAGCATTGCGGCGTGACATTGAATTATTTGAAAGCGGTCGAGCTTTGTCCAGACAAATCGGACGTTTCAAACATAAGTATCCCAGTTCGACATTCAGTTACTTCCAACCAGGCAGACAATTGCGACAGTATCGAGAGGGAATTTCGAGAAACATGCGCAATCGCTAGTTTACGGTCATCGGACTCGGGAATGGTTGAGAGTTGTTGCTTAAATTCATCCGAGATTAATTCCTGTTACAAGTCGTACGCGTCTAGTCATACTAAATACACGGATCCTGTAAGAACGTCTCACAGCGAGAGCGAAAATGACGAGAATAAATTCGAGAATCAGTGTATTTGCACCTCGCCATTTGGCTCTACACCCCGGGATAGCGGCCATTCTTTAGCCTCGTCCAAAAATATCGACGAGTGTACGAGTTTTGCAAAACCAGACGTGAGCAATGTTGATGGCGACGTTAATCGGAATAATAGAGAGGATAAAATTCAAGAAACTGTAGCGACTCATCCTATCATAAATTACGGGAATGTAAGAGAGAAAAGGTATTCGCAACCGATACCATACGCGTATCAATGTGTAATTAAAAAAGTTGGGAGGCGCGTAGTTCGTCCGATTCAGCCAATTATGGAGGAACATGATGAGCCAACAAATCAAGTATATTCGTCTGGATTATATGCTCATTGGTGGCTCAAGAAACCTATCCCGATATCTGGATGCACGGAACAAGGCAAGCTTCCATGGCATGGCTGTTCATTTGATATCACTTCAGTTTCTTTTAACCATGTTGGTGTTCTTACTAATTATCATTTTCCACCAAAAGTTGTATACTCTTATTTCACAGCCATGTTGTGTGAAGTAAGCTGTCGCTTTACTAACACAATATATTATAGAATAGCCTTGAAACATACGCGCAGAAATATTTCTATGCGTCTATTAATTTATTTTATCTCATTGTCATCTCATTTGCTTTGCAAAGGGATTCGCCTTGCAAAAATCTAGTCAACTTGATTTTACATAGACAGAGTCTTAGCCATATTAGGTAGGGCGTGCGCTCTCTCCCCCCCCCCCCCTATCTCTCTCTCTCTCTCTCTCTCTCTCTCTCTCTCTCTCTCTCTCTNCCAGTGTACTACGTAATCATAATTATAGAGTTTTGTGTTTTTATTATATCGCCGCATGGCTTAGAAATTTTTCTATCAAAACTGAGACCATGCGTTAATCAATATATACATATAAAGGATAAATTATATAAGTGTAATGTATGGATATAATATTAGAAACCCTATAATTATGTGTGTTACATATATACATGAGTTGTGTCATGGAATATTACTATAAATGATGCTATATATTTTACAGCAGATGAACAATCAGATGAACGGGAAGCATCAACGACCGACAATAGAGCATTGTTCGTCTCCAGGGATTAAGACACCTTGGAGCCTTGCATCATTAAGACCTGCTCCTCCCTTATATTCTCTTAAGAATTTTGGCAAAATAGATGCTACTACAGATACATCGCGCCCATCACGATCATGCAGTAAGTATTGCATGTTAAACGAATATTTGATTTGTGCGACCGGTCTATAATTTATTTTGTCTTGTGCATTGTAGATGAACGACAATTTGAAGAAGATGCAATCATACTGAAAGTAATAGAAGGTTATTGTCTTTCTGTCAATGCAAGGTTCACTATACATTCTGGGGAATCTAACTGTAAGTTTCTAAAAGTAACAATGATCTTGTAAGAAACTCTTAATAACTTTGAGATTTTTCAAGATCAATATTATGAATAATTCTTAAATATGTTTGCATATTTCAGCAATGTCAGATTATGAGTCACAAAAGTCACGCGACAGGATATCATCTATGCATAACAGAGGCAACTGGGAATCTTGTAACGATAGGTGAGCTTGATCATATATATTATTGTTCGTCTTGTCGAAGAAGAGCAGAGATATATAAAAAGTATCTTTTACTCTTTCTTTGTCATAATATCTTATCATAATAAATTTGTAGAAATATGTTAACATAGAATATGTTAATTAGAAATTATAATAAATACTTGTATAAACTTATATCACTTATTATTTTGTTGATTGTCTGAAACAAATATAATAATATTGATGTATAATTTTTAGGACATTATCGGAAACGGTTAAGACTTTAAAGAATCAAATGACGGATTTACAATCACAAATGTCATTACTAACAAAACAACTAGATGAGGAAAGGAGATCGCGACTTTCATTGGCTGCTACAGTAAAACGTAGCATGGGAGTCATAGATGGATAAAAATAACATCAAAGTGTATATTCGTATTCGTATTATAAAAAGAACAATGTTCCAAAATAGATTTTTCACGATCTTCATTTCTTATATACAAATTTTAACCACGAATTGTATATGTTGCGTGTTGTTGGAATGTTTTCGTAGTTTACTATTTGTATAATATATATATATATGTGATAAACATAGAATAAGCATACATGACAGAAAAATTATTTATGTATTTTTTTAGTGTATTGTACACTTAGTAATAAAGAATATACAGAGAATTGCGCTTATCATTATAAGATGTTAGTGATGATAAGATATTAGTGATTTATTACGTATTATCAAGTTATATATTTATAAAACAAGTTTTATAAAGTAAAAGTAACAACAAAGTGGTTTATTGACAATTTCTCTTTAACAAAAATAGACTATCAAAATAATTTGTATTTAAAAGATTTATTACCAGTGTATAGTTATATACATATATATATATATCTCACAAGAAAAATGTTATATAATTTATTATTATCGTAATTTATTTTTTATACGCTCTAGTTCATTAACTCTACTTCGCGCATGCTCTAATCTATGCCATGCCATTTGGAGTACCTTTTGACTCGCATATCCAGAACCTTCATGTGGTTGACCTAAGATATATCATTAAATGTATGTCAGAATAAAAATGATATCAGAATAATGAATATTATATAAAAACTATGTATGTACCTGTAGAAACCTGTGTAAGATAATTAATTTGCTCACTCAATTTAGATTCTACAATTCCTAGAGACTTCAAGAAGTGAGTAGTATTCTGTTCTACTTGCTTCATGCTTGATTTTTCTTTGCCCAGTTCCAAGATAGCTTGTCCTGTACAATATAAAGTACTTTGATCACAATACAGACTTTGTATATACACTCACATGTTTACATATTCGGTATTGTTTGGCAAATGGGTATGATTTAATATGCACAAAATCTCAAGGCACAATCATATTGTAATAATTACCTGCGCTTTGTAAACAGTTTATAACTTCCTTCTCGATATTGTCTAAAAGTTGGATTCTTTCTATCGGTGGTGTTATTTTGGAAGTCATTTTTTCCTTTAGCTTATCTTCGAATTAGAATTCGTATGACTTCGAGGTCTTTAAATATTGCGTTCACTTTTTTTACTCACTTCTTAACCTAACTTGTAGTCGAAGTGTAAATATTTCATTTAAAGTTAAATATCAAATGGTATTCAATGTTTAATAACTGATATTAAACACGCGAAATTTCACGGATTAACGATAGGTTAGCGTGCAACCGGTGTTGTAGGCATGCAAAATGTGACGAGATTGATGCGAATTTTGTCGCGCATGCACTGCGGCAGCCATAAATTATAGCCTTTGAGGTATTCTCTTAGATCCATGGTAGATTTAAATCCGGGTCTACAATAGTAGTATGTAGTAAGCTCTCAGTCATGAGAGGAATAATCGATTGTGATTGGTCAATTTCTCACGGCTTCAAGCTTACCACACCTATTGTAGATCTGAGCTGAAAGAATATTCCAATGATCGTGAGCGCTTACTCAACCGTTGTTTTCTGAACGCAGCCATTGCGTTGTTGCGAAGTCTTTTTAACTGAACACATCGCATCTATCTCATAATCTCTCATCGTGATCTCTCATTGGAAAGTTCGAAATCATTTCAAGAGGAAAATCAAAATAAATAATCGTAGTTTTTACATAATAATTAAGGTATAACAAGCGATTTCTTAGCTCGTATTGTTTATTTTAATATTTCGGATATTTCCAATATTTTGTATTTTGCATCATACGATTTTTAATAATAATAAAAATAAATCGCAGTTGCGAGCTCGCGCATGCGCCCTACCCGTATCGATATAAGAATTACAACTATGGTAATATATAACGTTGAAATGGAACATGGCGCGTTAGTTCGTATTCGAAAAACCGTTCCGCATTTTTCGCGACTTCAATTCGCTCGAGTCTCATGTATGATGTCGCGTGATCTCATGCGTTATCGCCGGGAAATAAGTTGTGTGTGTTTGTCGTAGTGAAAAGGGTTGTTAAATCGTTGCTCGAAGGGAATATCTTGCGTCTGGGAGAGTCGAGCCTGAGGTGACGCTCGTACGTTGTAGCGGTTAGAAGTCTAGGTCGCTGCCCTTGCACTTTCGATTCATCGAAGGACTTTCACGCATGAATTATCATCGACCAGGAGTGTCGAAAATAAGTATCACGCGTTTATCACAGCGAAATAACTTTAAGAAGTCATCGAGAGCGAATATCTCGCGGGAGGATATTGGGAGTGCCGAGTAAAGTTAGGCGCGTTTGATACTTCGAAAATCGCAATAATTGTGAGAGAGCTCCCGACGCATCGGTTCGAATTTGGTAAAACGTCTCGTATTTTTCGCGATTTCGTCTCGTCAGCGATGAGTTTCGAGCGTGAATTATCGTTGGAAGTGCCGGAAACAATTCCGCGCGTTTGTCGCGGCAAGATATCGTTCAATAGACACTGGAAATGGACATCTCGCGTAATGAGCTGCAAAGAATGCCAAATGTCGCGCGTTCGTTAGAAGTTCAAATTGCATTCCGTACTTTCACGATTTATGGAAAGACGGTCGCTTATAAATTACTGTGCCGAGAGTACCGATCGAATGTCGTCGATTCGCCGTGTTGCAGCAAGATATCTGGATCATAAATAATCCATAAATCATCGAAGGAAAAATCGGTGAGTTTCCATATTTGTTTATTATTATTATTATTATTGGAACTGAGACATCTTATTATCAAAGTTATTAAAACTATAACTTTCCAAATCCCGATGGATTGGAATAAAAACGCGCGAAGTATTGTATTCTCTGTAACGACTCGCTTGTTATTTCTTGTTTAACATTCGTCGTAACTCAGAAAGTAACGCGTTATCCGACGATGATCATATCATCCTTTACAAATTTATACTCGGGTACCTCCAAATTAGTTGGCGCTGGTCCTTTTCGAACACGGCCGGCCGCGTCGAAATGCGAGCCGTGACACGGGCAGAAGAAGCCACCCGGTATAATTCCGGCATTCGGAATCGGTATGCATCCCAAATGCGTGCAAACTCCCACTACGATTAACCATTCCGGCCTTTTAACTCTGTCATTGTCCGTTTCTGGGTCGCGCAATTCGGATAATCTTACTGCTCTTTCTTGCTCGATAACTGATTGTGTGCTATATATAAATAAAGAATAAGACAATTAGACATTGACCGAAGAACAACAACTTTGATTAAAGAATAATGTTCTAGATTTTGAAACTTTTTGAAAGAGAGAGTTTCTTCCAAATTCTCCTATTTCTGTTATATTTTTATATTATCTCTGTTATATAATTTATATATCAACATAAATATGATACATTAAATAATATTCCTAGATTATAATTATTTTTATAATATATATTCAGTTTGAAGAATAAAGACTTAATCAAAATTTATAGAATTACATGTTAGGTCTTACCGATGATAAATAAAAACAGGTTTGCCGCGCCACTTTACTATCGCCACATGTCCTTCTTGTATATTGGATAGTTTCACTTCCAATTGAGCCTCTGCCAATATATCCCGCGAGGGCATCATAAAAAGGATGTAATGCATTGCGTGAGATTTTAAGCTATACAATCCAGCAACACCGCCAACTGAAAACTTATTGAGAAAAATATACTTTGTCGATTGATGTATTTTATGTAAATTTAAAGAATAACGCACCGAAAGAGGCAATGCAACTTAGCGCTTTTCGTTCATCAGCACTTTTCGCAGCCGGTATTTCGGCATCCTCCATGGATTTCCGTCGATATTCTTTAAAGTTCGACTTTGGTATGTCCGTATAGGCATATCTGTACAATTTCTTAAGGTCTATGGTAATGCAGAAACAAATATTTATAACAGTTTTAAATTGGCTTATGAGAGATAGATAAAATTGTAATTAAACTAATTAGATCTTATGACAAAAAGAAGAGGAATAAAGATGATATATTACATTCGTCTAACGCATTTTAAATAACAGTTTCCTCAACATTTAATTTCGATTATGACTATCTCATATATTATGGTTATGTAACATCATCTTTATTTATTTAATTCTTCAAATTGGCAATCATGTTTTTATTTATTCGAAAAGTTTAATTTTACTTAAATATTTTTAAGTTCGGTTTTGAGAAAATAATTTGATATAAAAGTCTATGAAAATATCTATTTTCTCTGATACAACTCACAAGAAACTTTTTATATAAATACTTACGATTTATTGTACAGAGTCGTATTAACGATGAAAAATATTTATCGTAATTCGCAACGTACATACCGAAAATGTGTCTTTTCGCAAAAGACATTTTTATTACCAATAGATATAATATATGCAATCAATAAAATACAACTCGTCAAAATATTTGGTATATGTATTATCATCTGAAGTATTGCGAAATTCCCGTATTTTCTTACTTCAATTGTTAATCGTATCAGTACAAAACTAAACAATTCGATGTGTAATATAAAATATCTCAATCTTATAAACATAACATTGGCTGCGCTCAGCAGAAAAAATAGCTTTACAACTGTTATAAAATTCATGCATCTGATTGGTGTATACTCTTAGATTAACAGCATTCGAGAGCAACCGAGATTAAATGCATATATCAATCAGATTCACGAGTTTTGCAACAGTTGCAAAATTGCTTTCTCTATAGACATTATATAAAGTTATATATATAATTTATTTCATATATATTTATTTCATTATATGTATAATTATATACATAATAATTATTATATATATAATTACACGCATACACACACACACATACTGTATATGTTTTTTTAATATACATATCTTATAAAATTAGGTAAAAACAAAGCCAGTAATAATGCTGCGAAATAAGTAACAATATTGAAAGATGGTACGCTTGCACCATTAACGAAGTTCCTCGAGTATAGTCCAAATGTTAATAGATTATTTTTCTTGTTGATCAAAGATATACTGACATGTACGTGATCCTCGTGAGTGTGTTCACCGTATGACCAATCTGTCACTTTAAATGGATATAATTGCGAGTCTAATATAGACGGCATAATTAAAACATTCTTATAATTGTGGAACGTTGTGGAGATATCAATGTTGCCAAATACCGTTTCCGACTCTTCTGTAGATCCACATGACTCAATTGACTGGTTCGAGCATTGCATTATGCCGCAGGCGCTTACGCTTCCGTTAATAGCATAGAAACTGCGAACGCCATTAAAGACCGCTAAACGATATTTCGTTGTTGGATCAATTTTCAACATTTCTACAGTAAAGTCGCAACAGAAATCATTCTGGCAAATGGTCCTTGTGGAATTTCCTTCCAATGGCAACGTATCAAAGGAATCAATTTTATCGCGCAAAAGTTTTAGTCTATCACTAGCCACTGTGTTGTCTTCTCGCTTCTTTCGAAGCTCATCGTGCACATGTTTCTTTCCATGAAAAAAATTCCCTTGACCATCCGTTGAATGACTTGCTTGCTGATTCGATTCGGTCTTCTTCTTCATTTTGGGTACTTTGTATATCAATACTTCCTCGTGCAAAGTGGGAGACATTATTGCCTTACCTATTCCTTTGCGACCTGCAAGTTGTAATATTTTCTCGTACACACATGCGTATTTCGATTCATTAATTGTGAATGATATTCGGAAACGTTTAAAGTTTAATTACCTAGATAAATTCCGCTGCCTGTGCTCCCACGGGGAGGATTATTGTAGCCAGCGACCAACAAATTTACGTCTTCGGCAAATGACCATCCAGCTTGCGTTTGTACAGCTGAAAGAATTGATAATCTTCTGTTATAGCGTATGAAGTTTTGTGAAATTTTAATTTCAATACGTTGCCTGTAGATGTATTATCAATGATGATATAATCAATCTATGTAAAACAAACATGATAAAAAGTATCTATGATTTCTGCTTGATAAAAGTTGTCAAACATGATAAAAAGTATCTATGATTTCTGCTTGATAAAAGTTGTCAAACATGATAAAAAGTATCTATGATTTCTGCTTGATAAAAGTTATTTTGTCTTGCGGTTCTTCTAAGAAGGATAAAGTTTTACTGAGTTTGTATGGCTAAACAAAGTTTACTTCTAAATTTGAGCTGGATAGCCAATGTATCGAACGAAATCCTGTCATTTTGCTCACCTGTTAGGAACGGCATTTCGGAAAACCATGCTGTAGGATACACAATATCGGTAATTTGATGAATTCTTGTCAACAGTAATGCCGGTATCTTAAATAATATGTCGAAACATATGAATGTTCCAAACGTCACCCCGAAATCGGTATCAAAAGTTACTATTTCCGGTATTCTTGTTATATTAAATTGTGGTTCCACGAAAAGATTCGTTTTACGATACCTGTTCATTTCAATTAGACATTAATATCATTAAACATTGTCGTAGAATAACGATAATATTAGCAATAATAAATTTATATACCTGGCAATGATCTTTCCATTGCGATCAAATACAACATTGGTGTTGTAATAAGCTTCGTCATATTTTGTACAAGTGCTGTTATCGCAAGGTAGTTTCTCAGCAATATTGATTACCACATAGATTCGATTCTCTTTTGCAGCGCATGATATTCTTCTCAGTGTCTGAATACATGCATATTTTTTAATTAATATTTTATAGTAAGGGGAATTGCAAAATATATATATAAAAACACATACTTCGCTGACTTTAATAGTATTCTCATCGCAAGGTATGTAGTTTTTGAAAGCAGCTGGAATAATAGTTGACCAATCATCCATTTTTTCTCTTCCTGGTAAGGAAATTGTTGTTAAGCCATCTTCAGGGAAAACTATTATATCAACGTCCTAAAAAATATTGAGATGATTTTTAAATATCTTTTGTGCACAGGAAATATTTCTAAACATACACTTTCTGTGGGATATTTAATTTTTCACATTTAATTTTTTCTCTCAGCAAAAAGTATTAATTTGATGTTATTCTTCAATATTTTTCCTATGAAGCATTTATAAAAATAAGTTGTATTATTTTCTATACATTTGGATAATTCACAATGTTTTGTATCTACTTTCTTAATGTCTCACTTTTCCAATGTAATTGTAAATATTTATGCGAAGAGATTTGTTAATAATTACACAAGTAAAATTTATCACAAAGATACTTACACTTGCATTAGCTATCTTAATGTTCCTGATATATGAATCGGTATTTGCTTTTAGAGTGGATTCAGCATCAATTTCATGTACAGGAGGAAATTCTACCACAGCTGCTGTATAAGTTTCTGAATTTGGAGTTGACACCTGTTCACATAATAAGAGATACATATAATGTAGAATATATATTTACCAAATAGATCACTGTTTGATTATATATTTCAAGAAAATAGAAATATGCATTGTTAATAAGTAGATGACAATTGTCTCATATTTACCTGATGTGCTATATTTGCACATGCTATTAGCAGACAAATAATAATCCATTGCTCCATATTGGACAGTTTTGATTGTTTGTCTACAAGCACATACAAAATATTTATTAACTTTTTAATTAATTAATTTAGTTCATATAAGTGATTTCCAAGAGAAAATAACAAGTTCGTAATCTAGAATTTTCAGATTCTGATAGAATCTGTATAGATAAAAGTAATTCGTACATATCCTCATTAAATGTTATAAATATCCTCATTCTATAAGAGGAGAGAATTCTCTTTCATTTTTTTCAGGCAACATTATCTTATTTCCAAAGTTAGTTTAACCCACACACACACAGTAATTTGTTAGTTACACAATCGTGCACGTATTCATACTTTTTGTCTTTAGAGGTACTCTGACACTAAAAGGAAAAGGAGGAAATAATGAGGCGTAGTAGGAGAACACGTCTTTTCTATGTTACCTTGTCTTGTGGTATGGAGATATTTATTTCTCTTGGAATACACTACTCTACCTTTTTTCTTCCTACTTCCCTTTCTCTAAGATTCTACTTGGGCCTTCATGAAAACGTGCAGAAATGGTTGATAATATTTTATATCGTCAACTTTAAACTATCGAAACGTTATTTGCAATTGACATTGATAGTGAAAGTCATCATAGAACAAAACTAACGCTATACACGCAACATAGGCACTGACGCATTCACCGGCAGAGTGTGAATGCGCATGCATTCCAAACGGACAGTTACAAACCGGTCGGAGATCAGCTGATACTCAGAATGGCGGATGCTTGAGTTTGAATTACGACAAACATGAAACGGAAAAAGATAAAAGGAGCTTTAGCTCAGAATGCTCGATTGATGACACATGCTCGACAACAAAATAATTTCTCTTCGTATATTATTTCTAATTCATTTCATACTATAATTTGTAATCGGTTTTCCATATTATTGTATCACATAGTATGAATGTTGTTTTTATCGGTATTATGGAATATCACGTGATGTATTATATACTTGATTGTGCGTGAATTGAAAAAATATCATAATATTTTGATGAATTTTTTATGAATTTTTAATGAATTTGGTGAATAATATTCTGTTTGTAATGTCAAATAATATGTTAATTATGGCCCAGTTTAAAACATCGCGAAGAAAAGATTCTACTACAGATTTATTTAAAACAAACTTTGCAGAATATTTTTGCGTTTTTTTATATTTTGCTAAAGTCATGGAACGCGATATGCGGGTTAATAATTAACATTAAATTATTTTCTTATAATTAGCATTTCCTTTTTTACTCTGGTGATATGTTTTATATTGTTAAAATTGCACAAATTATATAAATTGGCACACGTAATCGGCCTAAGAACCTACTAGTTCTAATTTTATAAGGAGATACAAATGAATTAATTCGCGTCAGTATTTTTTACACATTTGAACTGTTATATTAAATTCCAGCGAAATTGGAGTTGAGAGACTAACAAAATTACAGATTTATCAAGATTCATCCGAGCGGAAAAGCGATAGTCTTAATTAATCGTTTGTGTTTCTCATGGGTGTTACATAATTCCGTTAGTTTTTATATAGATCGTACCGGACAACCATGAGCGGTCTGCATTCCTGGGAAAATTAGTTCCGAGGATTTCCGAAAGAATAAAAAGTTCGTCGAAATTTTAGCATAACGGAAGTTATACGTTACGGCGTTAAGAGCTACGCAATGGATTTTCGCACTCGAGAAATGAAAAGTATGGTTTTGCAAAAATAATCAGTGGAAAATTAATTCGGTATAATAACTGTACGATATTAATTAGTCACATAATTGGGAAATTGCGCTCATTTTGTGACGAACATGATGGATTAATTGAAAAATATTTAAAAGGACATTAACTACGTCAATGTATATATTTAGAGAATTTTTGCACGAATCCACATTTACACAAAATCTTTCTTCTTATACGCATTAACGTGGAACACGCTAAGAAGTTTGTACGAAACTAAGACTCTCTCTGAAATATCCGATATACTTTAAGATAACTGTCAGCACCCACTTAGCAGGTAGTGTCGTTTTGAAAAAAGTTGTTAAATATAATTACCCGGTAAGTCTCTCTTTTTCTTTCTTTCTCTGTCTCACACACACAATTGTTGCACCGGTGCGACAAGTTTCTGTGCACGTTTCACGTACGGAGCGTAACACCGATTATACACCTCGTTGAAACTTCAAGTTGTGTCTGCCTTTTACGATCCCGTTGCGACCGCTATAGCAACTGCTGAGTCGACTTTTTCTTGGAGATATTAGTCAGAACGAATATTGCGCAGCGATTGAAGTTGAGCGCCGTCTCTACCGGCTTATATATTAACGAGCGTACTCACGCGTGTTGATACGTTATGCTGATCTTGAACGAGGAAAATCTTTTCATTTACGTATACTGCTATACACAACGCCCAACAACTGATTATCAAGAACAATGTAGGTGGAAGACGCATGAAACGATCAAGTAATGAAAGTACTGACGATGTCTTATTCGGTGTAGTAATTTTTTTGTTCATTTTTTTATAAAAGATATGCAGACTTTATATCGTTACGAAACTATCATCTCGAACTAAGGTCATAGATAAGCACTTGTATGCGAGTTATATATATACAAACTACATGCGTGAGTCAACATATAACGTCGAAAATTGTACACAGAAAAATGTTAGATTCAAGTAAATAATTATTTCAATACTTCTTAGTAAATTTTTACTTGAATTAAGTAAATATTACTTGAACGTAGAAAAAAGGCTGCGATAAAAATGTATAATAATAATATGGAATTAAGTAAATATTACTTGAATGTAGTATTTTTTCTATATTCAAGTAATATATTTATTTAATCCAAGTAAAAATTTGCTAAGAGGTATTGGAGTCATTATTTATTTGAATATAACATTTTCTTTTTCTGTGTAGTAACTTTTATAATATAAAGCTAAGGTAATTATGCTGATGTATACCTTATTATATTGACAAACTGTGCACACATTATCAAATCAACAAACTTCCAATCAAATTCTCGCCAAAGTCCCCAGAAACATCTGCTTCGCAACTGACTAGCAAACCTCTATTGTTACGATTGTGCGCAAATACGTGCGCAACAACTATGTAACGTATAGTTCGGTTTGATGATCGCATAATAAGTTAGTCATAATCAATGTTTCGAAGTCGTGGGAAATTCGAGCCTTCATCACTTGACAAACAGTGGCACTAACGCATGCATAATATATCCATATAACTAAACGAAACTTTCCGACATTCACATAGAAAGTGAAGTGAACTGAGCCGGCCAGCGATACGAAAGATGCGAAGAAATCAGCTCGTTCACACGTTTTAGTACAGCCAACGCGAAGAACAAGCTCGAGACGACGATTGTTCTTTGGACTTTTAATGACCGCCCTTCTGCGCGGAAAGACCCTGCCGTTGTCACTCTTTACACGATGGTGTTCGTGAGAATCATAATTCGCGCAATTCATGTTCGTGTTTTTTCGTTCTGGAATCGATTCTATTGACTTATTGGAAGTATATCGCGGGATCTCGTCTGCCAATGAGCTAAAATCGCAATTACTTTAAAAACCTGGTGACGTCGAAGACGACAATCGATCTCTCATTAATCGTTCGCTAGTCAGTCGATCAAAAATTAATCACAAGTTAATCACTCGCTAATTAATTACTCGTTAATACGTAGTACGCTAACTAACTGCATCAGCATGTCTAATATTCGCTGATTGCACGTGCAATAAAGATTTGTTTGAATCAAATCGCAAGTTCCGCTCCTTTGTTTGCGCGCTGTCTTCTATCTTGACAATTAACCGCCAAAAAAAAAATATATATATATTTCTATACTTAACTCTATATTTCCTCTTTATCATTTTTTTCCATTATCACATTTTATTATCAAAGTTGTCTTAACGCGAGTATTTAACTAAATACATACTCTATCTCACAGCCCTAAATCTAATCTTAATTCATTTTCTATAAACCAGTAAAATTAAAATCTTTAATGTCTTTGCGGTCGACAGACTGCAGACTTTGCAAACAATTATAATATTGATAAAAACTCATGTGTGCGCGATTGCAGACGATCATTTTCTTATGATTGTTTAAATTTCAGATACTTCTAATCCAAAAAGTACTGTTCAAAGCGCAAAATTACAAGTATTTTTAATTAATTGAAGTTTCCGCTTATTGTTTTCGGCATGATTTTTTGTGATTTCCGAACGTTCGATAAATTGGTGATGATCAGATTTACTGGAACGAATACGTAATTAACAATAAAAGCTTTTGATTCCAATATAAATTACTACAACTGATTGTTTCACAAATATAATGATAAAGAACTGTGAATTGATGTATTATCTCTTTGTAATAAATCTTAATTCATCATTTCATACACATGCCGGCCAGCGATTTTAAAACATTACACGCTACCTCATATTTGTGTACGTTTAATTTATGCATCATCATCATAATTCATACTGTTTTGATACAAGATTAAAAATATGAGTTGTCGATTTCTTTTGTCGCGATCATATTTCTATTCGACTTGCATTTAGAAATTCGATACTGAATTTCCGACGGTTATTACCGTTTTCAATCGTACGCACATGTGTAAAACCGTAGTATAAATTGTCATTGAATATTTAAATGTACATGCGCCAGTCTGTGTATATTATTAATAATAATCTTTATATTTCATTATCTGCCGGTTTCTAATCAGAATATGATAATCGAGTTTCCGTGTTTCATTGTTTAATATCTTGTTCCAAGTATTTAAATTCCAAGTATTTAAATTAATACATTCTTAAGACGATTTTCGTAAAATATGACCTTGTATAATTTCATATTATTAGATTTCATATTTTTGGAAAATTATTTAACTGTGCATTGCATTTTCAAATAGAATAAACGTTGGCGATAATTAGGGATTAAATTCGCTGTGTTATCGTATAATTTTATACTTGCTTCTTAATTATTATTTTAGCTAGAAATCTTACAGGTGACAATTTATCGAACAAGTAAAAATCTACAATTGAAAATTTCATTCTGTTCGAATTTGTTGGTATCAAATGTATTGATTTAAAATCTATTAGATAATAATTTGAAGTATAAGCGTATGTGTGACTCGTCATTCAATTGCATTTATGATTACAATCATGATCGATAAATGAGGAATGTTTATTGTTCTTTCGCAATATAGTCTTCGATGCTGTATTATTCTATTTCTCGCCTATCTTATCATTATCTATTAATAACGCAATGTTCTAGAGCTTCCTCAATGATATAATGATAAGAGATTGCCGTGGTCTGTATTCCGTATCTCGTATTTACATTATACGCGGCTGTTTGATTTCGAGCTTAATTTGCCTAATGTGAAGACCGTATTCAGCGTTATTAACGAACCGAGACTCAGACAGTCATATCTGATGTCAGATGTGTAATACGAGTTAATGCATTCAGTTCGTACTCGGACTTCAAAAATCAATACGTCAAAGCGTCATTGACGTTATCGGGAGTTATCGGTACAAAACATGTTCTTGTTTACATCGAATTATTTCCGACGGTTGTATCGATATCTTTCGATCAATATCCTCCATCAATATGAAATACAACATATGAGTAGCTCTCTTCGATTTGTCAGCAACAGTTCACCGGTATTGTCGATATCGATTCGTCGATAATAAATATCGATCGGCCTGGGAGGCTGGGACCGGTATTCGTTCGGAGAGACTCAAGATCGCAATATATCAATTCGAAGCTCAATATGCTCTTCCGCCAAACTCGATTGATTATCGTTCGCTTACAAAGCTGGAACTTGGT